ACTTTCCAGTAGGCGAGCACCTGTGGAGGCCAACGCCAGCTGCAAGTTCCTGGGCAGCCAGCAGCGGTGAGTTCAGTGGCTCTGAGAGGTGGGGGGCAGGGAAAGTTTGGGTGCATAAATAAGCTGAAAAAATCCTCACTGTCAAATGAAATGTTCCTCTGCTTTATCACCATTATTTTTAGTGAGATTTTGCATTATGGTACCTTGAGTTTTAAATTAAATGTCAAATATAATTTGGCACTACAAAGAATGAATTATGTGACTGCCCTCAGAGAAAATCAGAAGGCTTAGCTCTGTGAGTTAAATTGGTATCTGCCTTATACTGAGCTGATGTGGGCTAATTGATTGGGATCTGACAGGGTACCATATTGCAAATTCAGCACAATCTCTCCCATTAAAAAAGAATAGATCTAAGGTACCGTTAGGGAAAAGCAAAAAATCTTCTGAGAAACAGAATGAGAGAGGAAAAGAGTATCTTCAAGGACTGTCTTTTACACTGATGGTTTAGATTCCCCGGAAGCCCACATTTCTTAAGGGCACAGTACAGAGGATAATGTGCCCCAGGTCACTTTGAAAACAGATTTGCATTCAGGTTTCAGATTCTCCTGGCCTACTTTTAAAGAAGAGCAAAATATTTTCTCAGATAGCTGACTAAATCTGTCTCCATGAGAACTCAAATGACAAAGTGCCACTTTAGATCATTAAAGGAGGGTAATATATTTTAATCAGCAATTATATGAGGAAGGACAAACTGAATGCTATAGCAAGCGGGTCATTTTATAAATTCAGTACTTGTGGCCCTCTCCCTTTCAGAACACATGATGCTATTTCTTGGAAACATTAGTCTTAAAAAACTATTGTCAAGTAAATAAGCCTTGTGTTTCTCACAGCCTTCATGTCTGTGTAGTCTGGGTTTAATTTTCTGTTAAGTACAGGCAGTGTTGGGGGGGAGGACTAAGTTTGAAGTTCTAATGTAGTCAGGCTGGAATCTGTCACTCAGCTTATTGCATGTTGATGACTCAGTGCAGTTTCAGCTGTAAGCAGACCATGATTTATGGACACCAAGTGAACTCCTGCGGCAAAAACCAGCCATGAGATCAGAGCAGCAATAGGGCCCTTTTTTGGCAGGAGACAGCGCCTGCATTTTTCTCATTCATGCCAAACTGCTTTGCACGGCAATTAGCTCTGTCCTCATTTAGTCTCCAGTCCCAAAGGGTAATGAAAGTCATATATCATCTTCAAGGCTGCTAATTATCCAGCTCAGTTACAGGTAGGCTTTGTAACTGTGAGAAGGGCCTGTCTGCTTGATATTTATTGCTCTTCCAATAAGCAAGCAAAGGAGAAGGGGGGAAAAACTTTCTTGAAAGCTTGCCCATACCCCTTGCCTCAGATCCTTGACATACCTTTTGCAAGTGTGCTAGTCAAAGGGGAAATGTCTTCATCCCACATATCCATTTTTCATGCTGTAACTAAACATTCAGCAAGAACAGAGAGCAAGTGCTTGAAACATGAGAGAACATATATTTGGGGTGAGCTTGTTTCCAGTTGTTTGCTTGTGGAAAGGCAATCCACTGAATACGCCGTCATGAAAACAGGAAGAGCCATAAGAAAGAATGAAAAAATCTGTTCTTGTCTTTTTCTTCTCAGCCCTTCAGTGCACACCAGAGCTACGTGTTTAGAAAGCAGTAGGGTTAAAGATCTGTGATAGTTCTCCTGAAGATGTGTTAGCAGAAGCCTAGAACTCCTGGTCTGAACCCTCTCACTGTTAGTCCTGACATAAAATTGATCTCTCTAGGCAGAATTTGAGACCTGCCTAACCTTCTGTAACAGACAGGCAATTTGAGCAATCTTTTCCTGTTATTAATGTAGTGGCTAAACTAATTGTCCAGGTACCTGAGACCCTGTATTGTTGAGAAATGAGCTTCTTCCCAAATGTGGATGTTGTGTACAAAGGCAGCCACCAGGGTAAGCATGTGGAAAGGGGGAGCCGGGGCAGAAGCATTCAGCAAAGCTCAGCAAACAGAGCTTCAGCTGGCACCTGCACCTGGAGGTACTGTGGGCAGGAGGCACGGAGCTGCTACTTGTGTGTGTGCACCAGGAGCAGTATGCGACTGTGCTGGTAGAAGATACGCAGACATGCTGAGCAGAGAGAATGCTGCCAGGCGCACAGCTTTCAGGTTGGGAGCTGCAGTGCAGCGTGGTGGGAGTTCTTCCATCCTCACAGCTTTGAACTGCAGTGTGGCATTGGGAGGGGCTCGGTGCAGCTCTAGTGCCTCTAGGCATCTGCTGGGTGCATCCAGGCCTCATCTTCACTTCTATCAGCACTCAGAGGGCGGGGGTGGGAAAGAAGGGGAAGAAGTTCCTTATTCTTACAATTTCTTTTCCTGTGTGAAAATGGAGGATCGGTTTTTGTGATCAGATGGGATTTTATTTTTCTTCATGCTGAGGATGGCTGAGTGCCTTGCAGGAACTGCTTTCACAATCTCCTTGGCCTGGAGGAAGCACTAGAAAGCTGGTGGAGATCCAGGTAGTTCAGATAACAAGATTCGGAGTATTGCAAACAAGAAGGAGCTTATCTGTTTTGTATTGGCAAGATCCCTTAGCTGAGTGCAGATTCACACAGGTTCTGGAACTGCCGTGTAAACCTTGGGTTATTTGCAACGTCTTTCCTAAATTTCCAAACTTGCTAACTTAAACTTCCTGTAACTACATTTCAAGAGCTCTCACCTCACCCTTCTTGGAAATACATATCCATGCAGCTCCTTACAGTGGTAGGAACTGCCTCTGTATATCCTATTGCAGAGCAGCGCTGGTGCCTGCCTCCCTCTCTTTTGCAGGATCAAGAGTTCCTTGCTGGAGCTTTGATGGGTAGGGCAGTGAATTAGATAGAAGTCGCCATCCTGAACCAGAGTGGTGATCTATCTCATCTGATATCTTGGCACTTATAATGAATAGTGCTAACTGCTACAGAGGAAGCTGTCCCTTTTCCTCCTATAATTTAATTCTTTCTTGAAAAAGGGTTTTAATTAGTCTTTTCCCTCAATAATAAGTATTTCGGCTTCTAAAAAAAGTTAGTTTAGCACTCTCAATTCTGCAGTTCCATAGATTTTTCTTTTTACACTTCTTAGTGTTTGTCTGCAGTCTTCCCTCTGGAATTAGCAGAATGAGAGATGCAAAGCAGGAACAAACAAATGTTAAAGACTTAATCCAAATCCTGCTGAAGCCACTAGTGTATTGCCTGTTTAAGCATTTGGTTTAGATCTGTCTCCTAAGCCAGCTTTTCATGTAATACTAATTAGCATTACACCAAAATTAAATATTGTTTTGGAAGTAGTATTCTCTGAGAAGATGAGAAAGTAATGAAAAATGAATGTTCAAGCCTTACAGTTCTCTGTCTGCAAAACCTGCTCTTCAAATTTATTTCATTTAATTTTCCCACTTATTGTCTCATTTCTTGAAAAAAAAAACCATTTGTCTGACTTATCTGTTGCCTTTTGTACTAGCAAGAACCTTATCACTAAGGTAGGTATACCTCAAATACTTACAAATTATCAGTAATGTAATTTGTTCTTGTGCAGCAAATAACATGGAAACAAATTGGCTTTTTGCTTCTTTTTATGGCCAAAAATGGGTGATACCTGAGGGACAGTTTTGTACCAGCCAGTGACTGTTTTTCTACACCAGTGAAAGGTGCTGAAAGGGTAAGTGTCTGTACCCTGTCCTTGCCCTATCTCAGCAGCAGCAGCACCATCCAGCTGTGCAAGCAGCTGCACAGGGAGAGGATGTGGCACACAGCTGAAGTGTGGAGCTTTGCTTTTTGCCACATCCTGTGGAGGAGAGGCAGGGGAGATGGAGGAAGGGTGGAAAAGATAGGAATCTTTCCATTCCAATAGCTTTTCACAGTTCAGCTAGATGAAGCTGACCATCAAAGAATATCCTTACTGTACATCTGTATTCTTTCTGTTTAGGCCCCAGTTTGTTAGGTGGCTTCTTCAGCAGTTGAAATTATATATATAGAAATGCATGCAAGCAATTAGCATTAAAAAAGGCACCTTTTTTTTTTTTTTTTTTTATTTTTAATCCCATCCAATTGAACAGTTACGTCTTCTGTGCAAACACTGGTGCTGTTTTATGTTCCCAGTGAGCCTGATTGATGCAGCTGCAAACAGAAACTGAGTCTATCATTGGCACTGTGTGCTTTTGATCCAGCATACATAGGGATGTTATGAAAAGGTATGCTGAAGGAGTATTTCTAAACAGGTTTCATTAGGAAATAGGTGTGGCTGAGAGGCAACGTCAGCAGAGTCTGAGAAAGATATGAATATCAAAGTCTTAAGTCAAGTTCTACCTCAAAGCCCTCACCTTTGTTGCATGGACGCTATACACGATTCAGCTGCTACCTAATTAATGCGAAAAAAAAACCCAACCCAACTCACCAGAAAATACTAAATGTTTTAAAAATCTCTAAATGCCGTCACTCATGAGATAGTTTTACTCTTCCCTTTCAAATAAAGCTGAAAAAGAAGAATATAGGGAAAATTCCATTTGTTGCTGTTGAATTAGGGATCTTCAAAACAATTCAAGGACATGAGTAGGTTAAAGTGTCTCAGGAACGTTGTTCTGCTCGTTCTCTGTGGGAAGCAAGCCTATGTGAGCCACAGCTCATGTTTCCTCCTTGCTCTAAGCCTCTGGGTTCAACAGGTGGACTGCAGGGCTAACCCAAAGAGCTCCCAGAAAATTACTTGATGTTGTGTGAAAATTTGCTCAGGTCTTAAAAGCATTTGAAGTAAAAATTCTGTGTATAAAATGGTCAGGAAGGATACATGTGATAAGGAAAAATCAGGACAGTAAGGGTCTTTTGTGTGAAGTACAAGAAGGGGGAGGACATGATGGAATCGCTTCCTTCTTCTGACCAAGATGATTTTTTTCTTTTTGAACTTATATTTCTGGGCTCCCACTAAGCATATTGTTTCTCTTCCCTTTTGTAACAGAGAATCATTATGAATTTGGCCAGCCTCATCAGGAAAGGCATCAAACAGATCTTGTCTGGTAAGTGTTATTATCATTGTCAGGAATCACCAAACCTTTGGCATACGTATGTGGGGAAGGGGTGAGGAGGAATATTTTATTCAGTTTCTTCTTATATATATTCTGCTCTGTATATTTCTTATAGTGGTCATTTTTCTAATTAATCATCTGCATGTCATTCTGTTTTATGCCAGAGCAAGCAAGGTCGAGGAGATTCACTATGTGCATAGAGCAAAAGCTGCTAAGGTTTGCAGTGTTATTTAGCTCTTTAGGTTGTTTGTTCTTCATTTCATAATGAAGTCTTTAACAGCATCTTGTGCAGATAAACTGTAGCCTCATGAAAGGCAGCATTGGAACAGAGGGCTGTAGCTAATGATTTGTATTTTCATCTTCCCTCTATATATGTAAGAGGACTTGAAAAAGAAAAAACATATAACTCAAGCTAAAATTTTTTTCAAAAAGTCATTGTAGGTAGCACAAAGGTAGATTGCTGACAGTGCTGCTGACGAAACAGTCATGACCTTTTGTGGGAAAAGCTAGCTGCTTTGTGAACTTCCATTAGATTCCAAGGAGCAATACGCAGTAGCTGGCTAGAATCAGTGAATTAAACAGTGGTTTCTTTCATGCTGATTCCACATTAGTGAGTCTTTAAGTCAGTAATGGAAGGCTTCTCCTCAAAATAATATTGTGCATCTCAGCCAGGCTATGGTATCTGTTGTTTTGATTCTCTTTGTCCAAAAGAAATCAGAGTTACCATCCCTGGGCTCCTCAACTAGAACGTACAGAACGTGCTGGTGCCTCTGTGTCTTTCCTGCTTTGGGAATGCTGACAGACTCACGATGGTCAGTAAAGGCCAAACGTGTTTGAGCTGTTTGAGAAAGCTTCCTGAGTATGAAAGATGTAGGTGGTTGTTTAACATGATTACTGTTCTGCTCAGAGTGTTTGAGGCTATTCCTGTCAAGAGTCATACTGATTCTGTAGTTAGTAACACCAAGAAAGTAAGTGTGGCCATATGTAATTCTTACCTAATTAGTGTCTGTAGGATATATTTCTACATGATTAATTAACCTGCTTATTGAGCAAGAAGTGTTTCATTTACTAATACAGTAAACAAATTGCTGATTTACCTGTGTTTAATGAAACATCAGTTATAGTGTTTGTTTTTAGATTCAAAAATTAATTATTACATTGAGCAAGTATATTCTATCTTGCTTCAAATATCTATTCTCATATTTATATGGCTTTCAGTCTCCAAGCCAAGGCAACTATCCAGTTGTTCTCACTTGAACCAAAACACTATTTTATTTTAACAAGTCCATTACAGCATATGCCTAATGTATACTATTTCAGTATCTTGTTAAGAAACATAAAAGCAGTGTAACACCTCTAGTTAATTCTTCAAGCAGTGCCATAATATTATATCATAGCTTTGGCCTGTCTATTAGGATCAGATATTGAAGAATTCACTTGTCCCTGTGTATCTGCAGCAGAGAAATTATCACCTGAATTGGGGTATGGCTTGCAGTAGGTGATTGTCCAAAAAGACTGATAATCTTAGGAGCTCTTTGTTTCACTTGCACGACTTCTTTGGTGCACTCCTACCACGATGATTTCTTCTTTTTCTTCTCCAGACAATTCATTTGTGTATGTACTGCAATTGAGACTCTTTGGCAGAGGAATGCAATCAGAGCTTGCCTTCAGCTTTCCATGTGCTTCCCAGAGGCCTCTGTGCCTTGCAGGCAAAATACCTTTTGTGCTTATTGCTGATACAGATATTTTCAGCCTATTTATGAATATATCAACACTGTAAGTACTGAGACACCCAGGCTGGCTCAGCATGAATGGTCTGGAACTAGGAATGGTGAGAAAGACAGCAGACTTATCCACGCTCATTTTGCAGAATACTGCTCAGTCTGAGAAACAGCATGGTTGTGCAAACACAGCAATACGACCTCTGGATGTGAGCTCTTATTTCTGCACATCATCACATGGTCCAATCAACTATTCAGTCTGCAATCTGGAGCCAGATCCTCAAGTGCTCAGTGAGGTAAATTCTCACTGATGTCTGGCAGAAGGAGAGTGTAATTCTGTTCAAAGACTCCAAATATGCAGTAGCAGTTGTGGATTGTCAAATCCAGCATAGGATTATACCCCACATCATATGCTTCAGCACTTTTATACAGACTATGTCTAAGTTAATTTTTAATTAGCTCATTATACAGATAGAAGATCTGCTCATCTTAGGTTTCATGACCACAACTTTGCCTACAGGTCTCTTTATCAGACAGTTGGATGATGCCAGGACCAAACTGGAGATGGAAGTGCTCAGACCCTGCAGCAATGAGACTAATATTAAAAGTCCTGATAGTATCAGACACCACCCTCTATTATATCACAATTTCATTTCCATCTTCATGCTCAACTTTGTTATAATAAAGAGCTTGTAGAGGTTCTTGACTGCTGGAAAACCTAGATGCCAAAGAGAGCTGAAGCTATTCAACTATGTATAATGGTACATAATACCCACAACCTCCTCACAGGTTTTGATGATTGAATGCAAGTTCAGCCCACCCAAAGTGATTCTTAATGAATTGTTGGTCAACAGGTTGCTAAACACAGATATTCTCCATCTTCTGGTTGAAGATTTTGTAGACATACATGTATAATGAGACGTGACAGCACTGGTTGCCTGTAATGGCATTATCTGCTTTGGAAATCCTTTCTCTCCTCTGTTAACAACATGTCTGCTGCTGTGAGATGCACTGCCTACATATGTAACTTGAAGCATGAATAGATAGGGCTGAGGAATTACTAGCTTTACAGACCTGGAATTAAGGTATACACAAAGTGATTTCTTTGGGTTTGTGCAGGACATCTGTGGCACAGTTAGGAACAGACCAACTCACCTAAGATCTTAATCAGAGCCCACCCTTACCCACATACTACCTGTATGTTAGTAGTCTTTGTAAGATCCTTTCAGTCCCATTGAGAAATTCTCCCTGGAGCTTCCAGTCCTCTCTAGTGTGAAAAACTAGTAACAGCTACAATGAGATTATTTAGAAGCTTTGTTTTTTCCTTTCTGTTTCCTTCCATTTGCTATCTGAAATATCATCAGAAAATTAATTTCCATGAGATCAGAGTAGATCTGGAAGTTTCATATGTGTCAATAGAACTTTTTAAGAATAGCTGCACCACAGTAGGCTACTTGCTTCAGTCTGATCAGATGGAATAACAGGCTGTCAACTTAGCTTGACACAAACTGTAAACTTGACTCAAAAATTCTTGTGAAAAAGAATTGTGGTTTCTTGTTTAAGGTACAGCAAATCTTTTTGAAGAGATACTCAATCCCAGTGTAATTGCTGTTAAATCCTGCTCTTGGCTTGTGTGCAACCATTCCACAGCCTCAGTGACAGGAGGTAATCCAACTGCAAAGACTCCTTAAGTGATTGTCCAGCCGTTCGCACCTCTGGAATTTCATAATAAATTGAATCAACTGAGCATGGTGGGGAGGTGGAGGCTGGACATTGAACAGATCTGAATGAGTGGTGAAACCAATGACTCATCTCAGTGTCTCATTTCATTTCTATTCAGATTGTTTATCTAGGAAGAAAAGGGTAGGGAATGTGTAAGGATATATGTGTTTATTTAAATATGTAGTTGGGAGCTAATTCCTAGGTTTTGCTGTGAAGCAGTGGAAGAGACTGATTTTCTATAGGAACATTGTTAATTTATTTATTTTAATGATGTTTCTTGGTTTTTGTTTTATGTGTAACAGAGGAAAATAGTGACTTTTTTGAAGTCATCTGTCTGAAATCCTTCATTGCTATTGATTTCCATTCGACCCTTTCCAGCTTCTCTATGTGTTGACGGCATTCAAGGGCCAAAGCTTTGTGATATATTTGCTGTGGTTTAATCAGTGCTTCACCTCTCCTCTAGTTCCCCATTGTGATGAGCCTGAGGATGAAATAAAGCTGCACTGAAGCATTTCAATATCCTATTTTGCTACAGACTCGCATTAAATTTGCTATTCTCTTTGAAATCAGCAGAAAAACCCTGACTGACATCAACTGAGGATCTGGTTCTGTGTTTCTGACAACATTACTCCTTTTCTGGTATACCGGTCCCTGTGGCCACTGAAAGTGAAGAGAAGCTTTCTCTGAGGCAGTTTCTCTGAGGTTGTGAATGCTAAGAGCTCTTATAATTCACCCTCTCACCAGCCTGGTCTCCCCATCCCCTGCTCTTGTTGACTTGTTCTAGCCCGCTAGTGCCAATGCCACCATGTCACTGCAAAGCTCGTCTGTGCTGAATTGTCAGTAAGCATAAGAGCAGGCAGATGAAAGTAACTGTTGGGTGTGAATGGGGAGTAAGGAAATATTTTGCTTCCTAAGAATGCAAATGTTCTCTGAATGGATCTGGCTATTCCCTGAATATAGATGTTGCGGAAGATTTTCTGTAAGAGACAGGCCTCCTGTTTAGCATCCTGCGTCCAAAAATAACTTGTGCCTGATCTTTCAAAACCCTCTGTAGCCTACCTTGCCAGTTATATGTTGCTGAGTAGGAGGGTTGAGAGGATTATTTCAGCTGTGGCAATCAGTTTACACCTTGAACCACAAGATCGGATTACTTTTGGTATTTAATTTTGAAATATTTCCCCCAGATGCACTGTACCTTTGCATGTTTCCTGGATGAATTTCATTTATTTCCTGCTCTTATTTCTAAGCTTTCCTAGGTCCTCTGTATTATTTCTCTGTCTTCAGGTATGTTTGCAACACATCCTAATTTCATATAGTCTGCAAATTTAATTATTGTCTCAGCTCTTCATATTACCTGATCAGTGGTTTTAAAATATTACTGAAATATAACAAATGCCTGAGTTTCACTCACAAATTTCCCAAGGAACAGTACCCTCAAAGCATATAGTATAGGACTGTTGGGGAAGTGTTATATGTTTAGTTTCTGTGACACTATGGATGTGCGTAAGACCACTTGCGAAAAATGGGTGGCATCAATTTATGCTTTCT